CTAAAGCCTTCTCATTAATTCCAGCTCACATGAGCTAACCATCTTAATTAAAGCTCAATTCCTCCTCTTATTCCTTGTAATTTTTTGCCACTTAGCTCCATGTGGGATTGGCCAAGTTTAATTTCACTGATGGGCTCAATTAAGCCCAAAAATTTTAATAAATTCCAGCCCTAATTATATGGGTTTAGCCCATCTCAATTAAAGCACAGAATCTCTATTTTCCTATGTGATTTTCGCCACTGTTCCCTCATGCTTTGTCGAATTTTCCTACTCCTCACGGGCTCAGTCCATATAATTCACAATTCCTTATTTATAGAGACCATTGGTGTCACTACCCCTTATTTATATCCCAAAATTGTCAAGTCATATCTTTTTAAGTACATTAAAAATGAAAATGGTCTTATCAATAAGTATGCTCGAGACAGTAGTTAACCATACTTAATAAAGAAATATTTTCATTTTCAATTCATTATTATACATAATATGAGAAAAAGATTGTGCATTACTATTGACAAATTTTCTCTATGTGTTTAACAAGTGCACCGGTTAACAAAATTTGAAAAGCTTGGAAAGAAAAGGAAAACAAAAGTCTCATTTTGAGAAGACATTTCAAAGAGAAATACCCTTTTTTTAGCGGGGTCAATGGTGAGTCAATCTACCTACTTCTATATTCAAGAGACTTGAAGTGACACGACTGACCGGTGAATTTTAAAATATCGTATCAAGCCGCTATGTTCTTTTTTTTTTTTTTTTGCTAAAGTCAAGTTGCTATCTTGAATAAAATCTTTGAAAATTTGCAATCAAATCTTTTTAACGTGTACGAAGCTCTAGGATGGGGAGACTCCGCGTACTTCGAACATTTGAGGGCAATGGAATCTTAGGGTCATAGAAGCAAACAATTGCTTGGTCTATTCTCAAAGTCCACGAGAATTTTGGAAGCTTCGTATAATAATAAATTACCATATGAATGAAATATATGCGTTAAAATGCATTTGGACTGTCCGATATTATGAGTGTCAAGTGAAATGTATCAGATATCTGATGAATTGAATGTGTTTTGACGTAGATCACTCTCACATAATCATTTTACCCTCGGCAGGGATGGATTTAAAAGTCGAATCTTGAGGAAGCCACAACACAATATCGATCAATCGTTCAAAATACATAGAATGGAAAATTAAATTTGTTTCGTTATACATTTACCCATACAATAATGCTTTCTCATACATAATATGAGTTTAAAATTTATTTCACCGAGTTTAATATGAAATTTAGCTGTGTTTTTCATTGGCTTAGGCTTCACTCCATGAAAAAAACGTTTCAGGATCAATAAAAATATATATTAGCGAGTATTGACAATAAAGGGGGAGGTGAAATTCTAATTTGAACCGATAAAGAGATTTTTTTTAAAAAATTTCCTTTCCTTTCTTCAAGACACAACGAGAGTAGCTTACAGATTGCATTAACATCATATCAAGAATAAATTATCAGAGAACTCTACACTTGATAAGTTGATTGAAGATAGATAAATGGAATTATTATTAGAATCATCAAATGTCATAATCTACAAAATATAACAACATGCTAATTATTTAGATAATAAATTGCTGCTAAAATGGAAAAGAAAATAGAAGACACAAGCGCGCAGAGAGAGAGAGAGAGAGAGAGAGAGATTACTCGGTATAGATGAAAGGGTGTACCAACCAAGAATGATTGGGCGGGGGGGGGGGCAAAAGATTCATTGAGATTACCTAGTATAGATGAAAGTGTGTCTGTACCAAGATTTGATTGAGGGGCTGCCAAAAGATTCATTTCTCAAGCGAACACTAAATGTAATTATTGACATTCTTATAATACAAAAAGAGAATAAAATGGGTAGGGTGCGGGCGCCCTTTGGCCCCATCGCCTATTCGTGTCAAGAAATTATTGAGTGAGAATTATGACTTATTAAATATTAGTTAGTCTCATGTTTGTTTCACATATGTCTCACTAGATACGACGGTTCAAATTTAGTTCTGTATTTAATAATATCAGAGTTTGCATGTGCCTTATCATGCAATATTGTCCGCTTCGGCCTGTGAGTCTCACGATGTTGTCCTTATCAAAAGGGCCCTCCCTCGTGAGGAAAGTGATGAGCCTACTCTCAATCAACGTGGAACTTATCGTTCCCTCTCACAATCCCGTAATCAAAAGGATGATTATGGCAAGGACTCACCCCCTCACCTCACGAGAGTCATTTTGATAAGAACAAAACTCAAGACCTACGAATCAAAGCGGAAAATACCTCGTTACGGGACATGCGTAATTCCTGACATCATCAAGCGTGTAATAACTACTCTACCCTCCCTTGCCCTCGGAGCACTGTCATTTAGTCTTCGTCTCATTCCAAGAAAGACCAAATCGACTCGACTTTTCGTTACACGTACATTGCTTGCAGCCATTTTCGCATCCTATTTTCCTGGAAAATCACTTCATAGACCAACACGAAGCAGTATGGGTTCTCTTCAAAGCTCATTTAGCGGAAGAAGTACGAGACACATTTCGACCATCTCGAAGCTCTTTCTCTTGCTCGTCGCTTGTCATACATAGCGTCTCCAGTGTAGTGACCGAAGGCATAGATCACTTAAGTACATTTTGATCAGCTATTAGTTTCTAACTTCCATGGCAAAGTTTTTACAGCTTAACATTGCATTTGGCATTGGTACATTCCTCAAATTGTGGGTACCTTGCTATAATAAAAGCGGGATTTATCGAGGATTTACCTCGGTAAACTGGAAGCCTGCCTTGGATTCTTGGTGTTGTTACCGAGGTTACCTCACCAAAGCAGGGGAAGCTTGCGCTTGCAATTGGGCCAACCACCGCCTGTCTAGGTGTAAATATCTAACGAGCTGAAATGACTGCATTTCTTATTTTAACGTATCAGTGCCCACATACCTAGCCCCCTAATTGGAGAGATACTTTTTCTTTCCTCTCCCCAGAGAATACTCCCGAATTTTAACGTCCCAGAGTTCAAACAAAGCGATTTTAGGACATACTCAGGTCCTAACTTGCTATAATAAAAAAAAAAGCGGGATTTACTTATTTCAATTGTAAGTTGCCAACTTCTACTTTATTTCCAATAGCTTCCTACTTTGTTGGTAAGTTATGAACTTGCAAGCAGACTTATGTTGGTGAGCAACTAATTTCACTGCTACATTTAATTTTAAGTAACAAAATTTAGGTAGATAACTTACATTCCACTCGAAGTTGTTAATTCTTAATTTGTGAGTAACCGTTTTTTTTTTCGGTTGATGTGAGTAATTTACTACCTTATATGCAGAATTATTTATTTACTCTATAACTTACTACTGCATTCAACTTTGATAAATAACTAACGTTGTAGATAATTACACTATCAGAGTATTTGACCAATAAATCACTATGCAGCTACACAATTTTACCAACAAGATTTAAATCCTACTGATCATATTAGAAATTACCATGCACAGAGAATACTATAATTCTGCTTTAGGCTAAGGAATAGAGCATGAGAAAGGTGGAGACCCCTATTTTTCTGTAATTTCAATAACCTTATCGGGATTCTCTTGCCTGACAGAATTTTATGGATATTATTCCATTCCAAACTTGTGACTCGAGATCAATATGGTTAAATTTGAGATTTAACTCGAGAGAGAACGACGGTAGCCAATGGGAATAATAATTAAGCCATCGAGGCCACGTTTCCAAGTGGTACCATGATGGTGGCAGCCGCCAACCATCCTGCTCTCTCTCTCTCTCTCTCTCTCTCTCCTCTTTCTACTCTACTTTCAAACCCCTATTTTACTGCTTGTTTTGTTGCACGGGACCTTAAAACGTTTTATTAATAACGGACAGCAGACAAGAAACAGTTCTGGTTCATAATCATTACCAATGCTTGCCAGAACATTTCATAATAATCATTTGGAGACTGATATAACAAAGAGTTCTGGTTCAAATTCTTTCTATTGTATATATACTTTTCTAAAATTGTTAGAACAGCCACAAATTTGTTTTTACCTAGCTACTGTATCTCCTACATGTATTCCTTGTCTACACTACGAAAGAAGTGCAAGTGGGTATAGAGGAAATCCCATCCATCCATCCATCCATCCATTCCATCTCGCGCTTTCCCCCTCTCCCTCCTCTATCCCTTAGGCTGATACACTGTGCTCTGACCGACGGATGGAGGATTGATGGTGCGAGGATCCGAGGTGGCTGCATGAGCGCGGCAATGGCAGCCGGAGCTCCCCGTACATCTTGAGGTCGGGTTTGGAACCGTCTGGTTGGGTAGAGGAGAGAGATAGAAGGGAGGAGAGAGGCGGGTTTCTCTGGGTTGAGTGTTTGATGGACATCCGGGGTTAATCCAACTGTTCATCAGAGTTTGGGGTCACAGGGCGTGTAACAGTACCCCACATCCCTACGTGCCCGCTTCAAATCCTACAAATTTGAATTGACAGGACTGATGAACCTAGAATACAATAACAAGAGCCGCTATCAAGTAGTATTGAAGGAATAAATCATATCGCTCGAAGGTTGGAACCAGTCGCAGCATTCTAAATCGCGAATGAAGGCTCTAGGATGAGAAGACTCTGTGCTTTGAAAATTCGGGTCCGGTGGGATCTTAATGCCGTCAAAACAAAGCACTGACTTGGTCTATTCTCAAAGTCGAGGAACATACAAATCTTGGAAGCCCGCAAGAATACTGTCCATTGATTCTCCGCCTCAGTCCAAGAGAGACTTTGCGATAAAACAAACAAAACTCTAGTCTCGGAAAGACCAAATCAACACTGACTTTTTGGTCAGCGAACCTCATAAACTTTACGTATACCCCTCTCTTCCTCTCTCTGTACAATCATCCTATACCTATTTTCTTGGAAAATCACTTTCATTGCACTTACGTATTCCTCTCTCTCTCTCTCTCTCTCCTCTATAAATATGCAAAAAATTTTAAATGGGTCCCTTTTATGACAAATACAAAACAACCATTTGCAAAGCAATATAGTTCAACACTCAGTTTAGCTTTTGAGGAGGAGTTATTGAGGTCTCCGAGATGGGTCTTGTTCGAAGATCATTGATCAGGAGTACAAGACACATTTTGTCCATTTTAAAGCTGTTTGTCTTGCTCTCGCCACTCCTCGTCCCAAGCTACGCCAGTGCAGTCGCCAAAGCCATCGATGAGAGGAACACGTTCAAAGTGGGCGTGATTCTTGATTTGGACTCGCTTCTCGGCGACCAAATACGTATGGCAATCGAAATAGCATGCCAAGACGTGAACAGCATCTCATCATCAGGAAGTTATTACATAAAGCCACATTACATAAACTCCCATGCGAAGCCCCTTCGAACAATTTCGGCCGGTTAGTCTTTCTTTGCCCTTCCTCAATTTGGTAGCTGCAGTCTGCAATAATTTCTGCTTTGTTGTTAGAAACGTGTTAGTTGCCACAAGCAGTAATAAATAATCACCCCAAGTGTGCTTTCAGATCATGTACATCTGTTATTGTTTTCTTCTCAATTGTTCTGCATGTGCTGAATGTTTACTAGAAGTTCTACATTCAGTAATATTTCAAATACACAATGAAACCCTTGCAGAAACCTTTTCGGTATTTAAGAGACCCAATGATTATGTGAAATCAACCAGTAAAAAAGTTATGGAACTTCTTGAATCATTTGCAATTTCACACGGAAAAACTAGTAACTATTTATTGAAACTACGGGATCATTTCGTTCGATATTCCATGCAGAAAATGGGCTTTTTGCGAATAATAAGCAGAGTATCCATATTGACCAAATAATACTTGGTATACATTGTGGATCCATGACCGAGAGCTTAAGCTTTTGCACAAACGGTTGTTATCACAATAGTAAATTGACGTTCTTCAATCTAAACATGTATATCACATAATGAACGTATAACTGCAATAATCTCTTCCAAAAACCCAATTAATAGGGGTAAATAAGTGCAATTAGTAGAAGACATTCGTAAAGAAAATTGCCTTGAATGCTGAAGTTTAGTATATTCAATTCCTTTATTCTGTTTTAACAGCTGAAAAGCTGATCAAAAGGAAGAATGTGAAAGTTATCGTTGGCTTGGAGACGTGGGAGGGAGCAACTTTAGTAGCTGAAATCGCTAATCAATCTCAGGTACCAGTCATATCCTTTGCCAGAGACCACATAACACCGACATTGACGGTGCAAACTCTATGGCCTTCACTGTTTCAAATGAGTACCGATGAATCCGACCATATTAGATGCATTGTAGATATAGTTAGTTCTTATAACAGGCAAAGAGTATCAATAATATATGAGGCTGGGGCATACGATACTATGTACTCCAAGCTGTTAAATTCTTTGTCTGAAGAGCTTGGAAAAATCGGCTCGACAGTAGAGGACCAGCTGATACTTCAAGCATTCTCATCTCCGACTAGAGCAGAAGTGTCTTTGGAAGAGAAATTAATGACGTTGAAGGGAAAGGCATCTCCCATCTTTATTGTTCTAGGATTATCATCGCAGGGAAGTGCTCATTTTCTTAAAGAAGCAAAGAAGATGGGACTCTTCTATGGAAATTCAGTTTGGATATTTGCTGAAAAACCATTCACCAATCTTCTAACTTCAGTAGAACATTCAGCAATCTCCTCCACCGTCAAAGGTGCGATAGGAATAATCACCTACCGTCCCAAAAACCAGGAATATAGAGAATTCAAAGCCAAATTCTTGAATATGTTCCATCACAAGTATGGAAAGAACTTCAATTTCGAGCCTGGAATCGATGCTGTTCGAGCATATGATTGCATTATGACCGTCAAAAATGCAATAGATGCAGTGCCGAGTCATGATATTATGCCCGAGTTTTTGCTTAATAGAATATCGCGCACTAGACTCATGGGTTTGAGCGGGGCAATACGATTTGAGAAAGGTCAGTTGGCACATCGACCCAATTTCCAACTTGTAAGTGTTGATGGAAATGAATATAGAGAGGTTAAGCTTTGGTCTCCCAATTCCAGTTTCTCAAGGATTTTTGTACCAAAGCAAATTTCAAGAAGAAATGCATACACAATTTCAGACATACTGAAGACCCAAGAACGACAAACTCCAAGTGAGAAGGAGACGTTGGTTATCGGAGTTCCCGGTAAAACTCCTTTTGATAAGTTTGTGAAGGAGGAAATGGACGACACGACAGGGAATGCAAAGTACATTGGCTTTTGCATAGATGTTTTCGAGAAGGCTGTTTCTCATTTTCCTGATGGTTTGAAGTATGAGTTTTTTCGTCACGACGGAACATATGATGAATTGGTTAACAAAGTTCATGACAAGGTACGGTACCACATCATCTCTGTACTTGCATGATTATTGCATCATTGCATTATATAGTATCAAATATTACTTTCTCTGATACATACACCATCAGAGCCTGAATAAAGTAAACGAAGCAACAAGTTCATTTCACACAGATATCAGTTTTCTCACTCGCAAGATTGTATCACTTTGCATTAATAGACCGTCAAAGTCTCACATCCTGTTGATACTATAGTTTTGCTTCGACCGTGCAATTTCGGTGCCTATTTCTAAACTGCATTGCTTTGATGTTGTTCCATATTATGACCTTGATGGAAGACCTACGATGCTGCAGTCGGTGACATAACTATTCTGGCCAATCGCTCACAGTTTGTTGAGTTCACACAACCGTTTATAGGATCAGAGCTTTCCATGATAGTCCCAGCAAAACAAGAAACGGACAGGGCATTGATCTTTATCGAGCCTTTCACTCCCACAATGTGGGTTGCTTCTGGGGGCATCCTTATATACACCATGTTGGTAGTTTGGTTCTTGGAGCATCAGATCAATCCGGAATTCAGAGGCCCTTGGACGAATCAGCTCTCGACTGCTCTTTGGTTCACTTTCTCCTCTCTCTTCTTTGCTCATAGTAAGTAACTTCCCTCTCTTGATTATAGCTCATGTACACTCCTTTCGGCCCAAACTTTTGACAAAAGACTAATGCATTGGTGACTTTTGCAGAAGAGAGAGTCTATCGCAACTTCACTCGAATCGTGCTGGTGATTTGGTTCTTTGTAGCATTGATCTTGACACAGAGTTATACTGCCGGCCTCACCTCATTACTCACTCTCCAGGAGCTCAAACCAACTGTGACCACCATAGAATGGCTGAGAAGTTCTAAAGAAAGAGTGGGATGTGACCCAGATACTTTCGTCTGTGACTATCTGACTAACATGCTGGAGTTCTCGAAGGAACTCATCGTCCACATAAGGAACACTTCGAGCTATGAAGATGAATTCAAAGGAGGCAAAATCGCTGCTCTTTTTCTGGAGTACCCATATGAGAGAGCTTTCTTCACTGAGTATTGCTATGGATATGTTGCCACTCATGAAAACTACAGATTTGGCGGTTTTGGCTTTGTAAGTATGGTTCATTTATTCTGAATAGACTTGATTTTTCGGAGTGTTAATAGCATCATAAATTTGTGTGTTGCATCTCTATAGGCTGGGTCGAAAAGAAAAAGGGGCTTGAGTACTAAAATACCACAACAGAGTATGACATAAGTTGAGGACTGATATATAAACAGAATCGCAGTTAGCACTTTGAATAGTCCTTTTAGGGAATGATTTGATCCATGTATTTCAGTCTGAGTTCATAAAAATGGTATAGAGGGAATAACGGCACTCGAGGATGAACCCCTCAGTATTTGTCCACATTACACTTGCTAAGTCTACTAGCTCGTGAACCGGGTATTGATGCAGTGGCACAAAATTACTAGCCGCTAGAGAAGCAGCACATATCCAATTCCCCAGGTGAGAGCACAAGGCTTAATGTTCGACCACCAAACTCGCTTTGGGTTACTATAGCCAGAAAGAGAAAAAAGAAAGACATTGTACAAACATTAATTAGCTAATAGTGGCCTTGCAAATGCTTTTCCTTGTTACTTATCTCTCCTTAACTGCCCATATGCAGGTGTTCCAAAAAGGCTCTCCACTGGCTGAAAATTTCTCTGAGGCCATTATGGAGCTTTCCCAGAGCGGTGAGATGAAAAGATTAGAGAACAAGTGGTTCTCTCCTGAGTGCACGATGAGGAACATCACCAACGAGAAACCGAGGTTGGGACTCAACAGCTTCTGGGCGCTCTACGCTTTCACCATCGCCACTTCCACGGGTTGTTTGCTCTTGGCGTGTCTCTGCACGAGAAGGAATTGTCAGGATCATGAAGAAGGAAGCAATGACGACAACATGAGCGCGACAGAGATGAGTATTTTGTAGTGTAACTCCATGTACAGTGGCATAGTTCTTTGGCTCGACAACAAAGGGGGAACAGCATTCTTGAATCTTGATCGCTTTTGATACTGGATCTTCTTGCAAATGAAAACTAGCAAACACATCTTCGAAGAAGAAAAGAATTTTGTAGTTAGCTCAGTAATTTGCCAATTGCTAGATATGTGTGCTCATTTTTCCACCGAAACAACGCTATAATGGTTGAGATCCATAGACGATTCATGTTTTGGGACCCTTGATGGGTTCGGCTTTGGACTCTGTTCCTTCTCTTTCGAAAATTATACATTGTGTGAGAAATGTAGAATCGATTACAGCAGCTATGGGGACAATTGATTCATTCAAGCACTATCGATCCTCGCTTTGAGGCTTAGATTATTGAAGATGGAACGAAAATGATGTTCATATTAGGCTTTTGAGGCATTAGGCTCTTGCATTAACTATTGAAGACAGACTTAGAAAATTTACATCAGAAAATCAATAATAAATTCATAGCATGTAAGCTACTATCGATTCAACGTAAGTAGGGAACTCACAGTACTTGGTACAATTAGAGGGTTTAAAATAGCATAATTCTAACGGTACGTGCCAAGAGATATGGCTTTTTTTTCGTGCCGGCCAATTTTAATATGCGTTAGTAAGTGTCAGAAAGCAATTGGTAAAAATGACCGGAGACTTTTTTTTAGATTTTTTGTTTATAACTTTCAATACTTTTTTGGAATTACCAACTTTTTATTATAATATGCAAATTAGCAACTTTTGTACTAACTCTCAATTTTTATCTACATAATTTACCATTGCTTAGTTATTTACCAACTTTTGGCAAATAAAATTATCAAGTATCTTTGGGTTACCAACTCTCATGTGAATTACTTCCTGATATTTGATTTGACTAATATACCAATTTTTATTTGCATTTGTTAACAATCTCTTACATTTTCTAACTCCTTCAAGAAATTACCAACCAAATTAGCATGACTCGCTAATTTTCCCCCATTAAATTACCACATAGTATTAGATTATTAACTCACATTTGAGTTAGTTACTGACATTTTTTTCTTTATTTTACCAAATTTACTTATCGTCTGTAAACTTTTATTTGCATTTTTTAGCAAACTTTAAATTTACCAATTTATTTACTAACATTTAATTAGACTGACTTACAAACTTTTCTCTGATTAATCACCAACTACATTTTGATTATCAACTCTCATTTCACTTACTTATTGAATTTGTTTTTCTTCTAATTACCAACTTTTCTTTCTTTTCACGAACTTTTGTTCACCTTTCTACCTAATAGTTGCTTGGGGTTTTTTCTCTGCTAGGGTTTCTCTGCTAATGAATCCTGAGGCTATCCACCCTGCTCTTCCTCCTTCACACTACGATCATGATGGAAGGGATTATCCTCCTCTTCAGCAAGGTATCAAATGTTCTCGACCGTCGGTTGTGGGTTTAACTCGCAAATCCTCTTACCAAGAATCCCTTTTGGGTGCAGCGCTTCACAAACTCGATCCAAAGCAATGTTAGAGGATTCATATTTCGAAGTCTCAGATGATGAAGCCATGGGTGAGCCACCGACGGGTTTCGAGGACGTCCTGATTATGAAGGCAAGCAAGGAGGAAAAGGAAAGATTGCGTTGACCTTTGCGTCAATCTCTAATTGTCAAATTGCTTTATAAGAAACTTTTGCATGTTTGGTCCCAAAAGGAGAATTAGTTGTGATTGATTTGGGTAATGATTTCCTCATTGCAAAATTGTCCCTGCCAGAGGACTATCAGTTTGTGCTTAGGGAAGGACCTTGGATGATCTTTGATCATTATTTGGCCATCAAGAGATGGCATCCCAATTCCGACGCAGACGAGGCAACAATTGATAGGTTACGGCTTGGGTCAAGTTTCCCAATATCTCTATTGAGTATTTTGATGAGGATTTTCTGATGCAAATTGGTTTGTTGATTGGAAGACCATTGAGCGCAGATTCTACTACAGTGCTAGCTACTAGAGGGAAGTATGCTCGTCTTTGTGTTGAAGTTGATATAACACACCCTTTTACGCCTTTGATATTTCTTGAAGGAATACTTAGACGTGTGGAGTATGGAGGTATACATCTGATTTGTTTCTGTTATATTTGAGCAGTTTTCGCCCATGATGGGCAGAGACGGGAGCAGTTTTCCCCCATCACGGGAGAGGTGGGAGTAGTTTCTTTTGTAACTTCCCACCATCTCATTCGTAACTTCCAACCATCTCATTTGTAACTTCCTATGATCCGCTATCTACAAGAGGCATATGTTCTCCTCTGTAAAAATATGTTGAATACAGAACTCATTGTATGAAGGCTTCTATTGTTGCTTTGAGAAGATAATTGGCATTTGTGTTATTAAACAAGAATATTTCCTAGTGATCATATTCAGACCATTGTGCAGTTGTGAATTCGTCCATTAAGTACTGGTGATTTAACCTATATTCCTGAGCAATTCTCTTGTTGTTCTACAAGAGGTAAGTCAATTTTTTTGAGAATTTAGACTATGTAAAATAATCTAACAGTTTAAAATGTGGTCATTATGGCCACGGATGAGATGCATGTGGGTCTAAAAGGGGTAAAGTGGCAGAAGAAATTGGGAATGGTAACTCTATGCCTGATTCTCCTACTATAAACATAGTAAAACAACAAGAAGTTCAAAGGGAGCCCCAAGATAAATTTAGCCCGTGGATGGTTGTGCACAAAACCCGAAGGGTCCGAAGACAACAAGTGAAAAAAGCGCCAGCTGATAGTCGAAAAGAAAACTTCCTTGAAGATTTGAATGGTCCTTCTTAGTAAGAGATACATATTTCGAAGGAGGAAAACACCATTAGAACCGAAGACAAAAAGAAAGGTGAAGTTGTTGGTTTTGATTATAAGGGCTTGTTCACAGAAAACAAAAGTTTTGGACTGTCTCAACCTCGCAAGCAAATAACCAGGGTTTTGCAACAAAGTTCTTCCCTATGAAAGACATAAACAGGGTCTTCCAACAAAGTTCTTCTACTCAAGACAACTTATCCACGTTGCCACTTAATTCTTTAAATTCGCACCTTGACAAAACTGCGCTTCCCCTTATGCATCTCTTTAGTAAAGAGCTCTCCTCAAATCAAAATGTGCCGTAGGTTTCAAAGGATGTCCTAGAAGCACCACCAAAACCACCTAATGATATTGGTAGATTGGGGGACGTCAATTCAACTATGTCGGAGATTCCAGATTCTCTTGAGGAGACAACTCATCCGATGCCTGATGAGGATATTGATATGGTGAATCCTGTGATGCTAGATGGCTCCGTTTAGCCGTGGCACCCTTCTCTCTTCCAAACTTTCTTTTTAATGCGGTTGTTAGTGTGGAATTGCCGAGGTTCGGGGAGTGAAAAGTTTTTAGTAACGGCTAAGGACTTGATTTGTTTGCATAGAAGTCAATTTCTTATAATTGTTGAACCGTGAGTGAGTGGAGATCAAGCGTCTGAAATAATAAAAAAACTTCAATTTCCTAATCATACTCATTCTGAGGCACAAGGCTTTTTGGGGGAAATCTGGTTATTATGACGTGATGCTTCCTTTACTATGGATGCGGTCCAAGTTGATGATCAATTTATTCACGTTCAAGTTAGAGATCGGGGTAATAGAAGCTAGTGTTTAACTGCTATCTATGCTAAACCAGATGAATTAGCTAAAGCACAATTAAGGGATCATCATGGACAGATAGCTGCTACAATGACAAAACCTTGAATGGTCACTTGTGGTTTTGATGACGTCGCCTTTTTGGATGAAAAGAAAGAGGTGCACTAGTAAATGTTGCAAAATGTACAAGATTTAGAGAGCAGATTGACAGATGTCGTCTAATTGATCTTCGCTGGGTGGGAATGAAATTTAGATGGCGTGGGCCCAAGTGGAATGAATATAATAGGGTATTCAAGTGCCTTAACAGAACATTATGTAATCTTTCTTGGCGTTTGTTATTTGCTGATCCGACAGTTCTAGTACTTCCAAGAGTTAAATCTGACCATCATCTTTTAAAACTTAGCTAAGAAAGGTAAGTAAAAGTTGGTGAAAGATATGGGAATATTTTTTTTTTTTTGAGATAAGAGAAGTTTAAAGCAAAAGGCCAAATAAATTGGTGACGCAAAACTAGTTAGTAAATTAATTGAAAAAAAGTTGGTAATCACTCTAATTGAGTTTGGTTATTTATAAAAAGAGATGGTGAATTTAAAAAATTGGTAAGTTAGACAAATAAAAGTGATAATTCAATAGAATAATTAATAATTTTAAATAAAAATTTAATGTTATAGAGAGTTGTTAACCAACAATTAGATTGTACTTTAATCAGAGAAAAGTTCATAATTCACACAACTAAAGGTTAATAATTTCATACAGTAGTTGATAAATTTAAGCCACTTCAAAAAAAGGTAAATATTTAATGAGTGATAAGAAAAGTTTTTTTTTTAAATAAGAGATATCATAATTCCCTTAAAAAGCACCAATTTTAGATAATGACCCAATTCGGGCCGGAATAATTTTTGTCTCATAAAAAAATATGAGCGGTACCCAAATTTGGTCCTTTTTAGGCTTTCGTCCAAAGATGTTAAAAATCCGATGTGCCATTCCACGAAGCAAAATTATGGTGTGTGAGAGAGAGAGACAGAGGTCTAGAACGACTACTGTAGTCATGAGCTCTAACTCTATGCTCGCGGCGCCCAAGATCAGTCGAGTTCGTACTCGCGGACGCCATGGCCACGAGCTATGGCCACTTGAGCTCGAGGCTATTATGGCTGCTGTGCAACAATGGCGGCCGGAGCTCCCTGTGTATCTCGAGGTCGCCGTTGGACCATCTGCTGGCTGGGGTAGAGGATAGAGATAGAAGGGAGGAGAGAAGAGGGGGTTTCTTTAATTCGGGTGCTTGATGGGACACCCCTACGTGCCCCCGCTCCAAGATTCTACCAATTTGAATTGACAGGACTGAGATGAATCTAGAAGGCACTGAAAAGGGCCGTTTTATCTTCTAGTGTAGAAGGAATCTACCACATCGCTGAAAAGTTGGACCCATTCCACAGCATTCTTGAACGCGAATGAAGGCTCTAAGGAAGAGAAGACTCTCTATCCTTTTAAAATAAGGTTAATTTCCTAAAAAAAAAACCCCAAACTTTAGATCTAATATTAAATCTGTCCTGAACCTTTTTTATCTCGGAAAAAACCCCAAACTTTAAGTTCAGTCTCAAATCTGCCCCGAATTTCGTTTTGTATAAAAGAAAATCACCAAAATTCAATTTATTTTAAAAAATATTCCCCCATGATCAAGTCCTAACTTGACGTGGCACTTTCACTTTGATAACAAATCTACATCAACAAAGTAGTTGGGCTTTTTGTTAGACAAAGAAAAGTTTGAAGTAGATTTGGACTGAACCTAAAAATTATGGTTTTTTTTTAAAATTAAAAAAAGTTTTTTTGGGGTGGATTTGTTATCGTCGCTGGCTTTCATATCCTAGAATGGTTTTATTTTGGAGAATTTCAACAATTTTTATTGAGTTGGATTTGTTATCGAAGTGGAAATGCGACGTCAGCCTGTACCAATCACCCCATTACTTTGCTAATGTGGATTTGTTATCGACGTGGAAGTGTCAAGTCAAGTTGAGATTGGATCATGGGGGTATATGTTTGAAAATAAATTGAAATTTGCTGATTTTTTTTACACAAAACAAAATTCGGGGCAGATTTGGGACTGAACTTAAACTTTTGGGTTTTTTCTGAGACAAAAAAAAAGTTCGAGGCAGATTTGGAACTTGACCTAAAGTTTGGGATTTTTTCTGAGATAAAAAAAAGTTCAAGGGAGATTTGGGACTTGACCTAAAGTTGGAGGGTTTTTCAGTGAATTCACCCTTTGCAAATATGGGTACATTGGAATCCTGATGCCATCAAAACAGGCGATGACTTGGTCTATATCGTCAAAGTCCACGAGAGTTCGAATCTTAGAAGGATCGGGGCGTGTTCCCCGAATGAATACTGACCATGGACTCTTCGCTGCAGTCCAGGAAAGACTTTCCGGGAAAATTAAAAAAAAAAAAACTTTAGTACTTGAAAGACCAAATCAACACTGACTTTTTGGGACAGCACCACGGACTGACAAAAATTTTGCATGCAAATCATTTTCCTTGCTCCCTTTTCTTGGAAAGTCACTTCCTTCGCACTTACGTATGCCCCTCTCTCTCCCTTCACCATAAGTATGTAGGAATTGTCAAATGGATCGTCCCTTCCACGACAGACACACGCCCATTATCTGCAAAGCAATATAGTTCAACACTTGTTTGAGCTTTGTGGGGAGGAGTTATTAAGGTTTTTGTGATGGGTTTTCTTCAAAGCTCATGTAACAGAAGTGCAAGACACATTTTGTCCATCTCGAAGCTGTTTCTCTTGCTCTCGCCGCTCCTCCTCCCGAGCTACTCCGGTGCAGCCACCAGAGCCATGGATGCCGGGAACGTGTTCAAAGTGGGCGTGATTCTTGATTTGGACTCACGTCTCGGCGACCAAATGCGTATGGCAATCGAAATAGCATGCCAAGACGCGAACAGCATCTCATCATCCGGAAGTCATTACATAAAGCCACGTTACATAAACTCCCACGCGAAGCCCCTTCGAGCAATTTCGGCCGGTTAGTCAATCATTGTCCTTCCTCAGTTTGGTACCTGCAGCCTGCAATAATTTCTGCTTTGTTTGTTGCAAACATGTCAATTGCCACGAGCAGTAACAAAAAAAACCACCCCATGTCTGCTTTGAGATATGAACCTGTTGTTACTTTTTTCTCGACTGCATGTGTAGCATATTGAATTAGTATATTGAATTCCCCTTTTTTTCTCTTTTAACAGCTGAAAAGCTGATCAAAAGGAAGAATGTGCAAGTTATTATTGGCTTGGAGACATGGGAGGGAGCAACTTTAGTAGCCGAAATCGCTAATCAATCTCAGGTACCAGTCATATCCTTTGCCAGAGATAATGTAACACCGACATTGATGGCGCAAACTCTATGGCCTTCACTGTTTCGAATGAGTACCGATGAATCCGACCAAATTAAATGCATTGTAGATGTAGTTAGTTCTTATAACAGGCGAAGAGTATCAATAATATATGAGGCTGGGGCATACGATACTATGTACTCCAAGCTGTTAAATTCTTTGTCGGAGGAGCTTGGAAAAATCGGCTCGACAATAGAGGACCAGCTGATTCTTCAAGCATTCTCATCTCCAACCGGAGCAGAAGTTTCTTTGGAAGAAAATTTAATGAAGCTGAAGGGAAAGGCATCTCCCATCTTTATTGTTCTAGGATTGTCGTCACCGGGAAGTGCTCATTTTCTCAAAGAAGCAAAGAAGATGGGACTCTTCTACGCAGATTCAATATGGATATTTGCTGAAAAACCATTTGCCAATCTCTTAAATTCAGCAGAACAATCAGCAATCTCCTCCACTGTTGAAGGCGCCATAGGAGTAATCACCTACCGTCCTGAAAACCAGGCATATAGAGAATTCAAATCCAAATTCTTGAATATGTTCCGTCACAAGTATGGAGAAAACTTCAATTTCGAGCCAGATATCGATGCTGTTCGAGCATACGATTGCATTATGGCCGTTAAAAATGCGGTAGATGCAGTGCCAAACCATGATATTATGCCTGGGTTTTTGCTTAATAGAATATTGCGCACTAGACTCACGGGTTTGAGTGGGCCAATACGATTTGAGAAAGGTCAGTTGGCACATCGACCCAAATTCCAACTCGTAAGTGTTAATGGAAATGAATATAGAGAGCTTAAGCTTTGGTCTCCCAATTTCGGTTTCTCTGGGAGTTTTGTGGCAAAACAAAGTTCAAGAAGAAATTCGTACGCAATTGCAGACAGATTTAAGACCCAAGAAGGACAGACTTCTGGTGAGAACAAGCCCATGGTGATTGGAGTTCCCGGTAAAACTCCTTTTGATAAGTTTGTGAAGGAGGAAATGGATGGCACAACCGGGAAAGCAAACTACATTGGCTTTTGCATAGATGTTTTTGAGAAGGTTGTTTCTCATTTTCCTGAACGTTTCGACTATAAGTTTTCTCGTCACGATGGAACATACGAGGACTTGGTTAACAAAGTTCGTGATAAGGTATGGTACCACACCATCTCTGTTCTTGCATGATTGTTGCATGATCGCATCATAGAATATCAACTGTTACTTTCTCTGGATACACAAACCATCAGAGCCTGAATAAATTAACCCAAGCAACACGTTCATTTCGCACAGATACCAATTTTCACTCACAAAATTGTATCACTTTGCATTAATAGACTGTCAAAGCCTCGCACCCTGTTAATACTAACGTTCTGCTCTGATGGTGCACTTTCAGTATCAATTTCTAAAGTAGTCACTTTGATGTTGTTCCATGTTATGAAATTAATGGAAGACCTACGACGCTGCAGTCGGTGACATAACTATTCTGGCCAATCGCTCACAGTATGTTGAGTTCACACAACCGTTTATAGCATCAGACCTTACAATGATAGTCCCAGCAAAACGGGACACAGACAGGGCATTGATCTTCATGCAGCCTTTCACTCCAACAATGTGGATTGCCTCTGGAGGCATCCTTGTATACACAATGTTGGTAGTTTGGTTCTTGGAGCGTCCAATCAATCCGGAATTTAGAGGCCCTTGGACAAATCAGCTCTCGACTGCTCTTTGGTTCACCTTCTCCTCTCTCTTCTTTGCTCATAGTAAGTAACTTCCCTTTGTTGATTATAGTCCATGTACACTCTTTTGGGCCCGAACTTCCGACAATTACACATGCATTGCTGACTTTTGCAGGGGAGAGAGTCTACCGCAACTTCACTCGGATCGTGCTGGTGATTTGGTTCTTTGTAGCATTGATCTTGACGCAGAGTTACACGGCCGGCCTCACCTCGTTGCTCACTCTCCAGGAGCTCAAACCGACTGTGACCACCATGGAATGGCTGAGAATTTCTAAAGCAAGAGTGGGTTGTGACCCCGATGCTTTCATTTGTGACTATCTGACTCACACGCTAAACTTCTCGAAGGAAGCCATTGTCGGCATAAGCAACACTTCCAGCTATGGAGATGAATTCAGAAGAGGCAACATCGCCGCTCTTTTTCTGGAATACCCATATGAGAGAGCTTTCTTCACTGAGTATTGCTATGGATATGTTGCCACTCAAGAAAACTACAGATTTGGCGGTTTTGGCTTTGTAAGTACGATCCAGTTACTCTGCGTAGTCTTCATTTCTCGGAGTGTTAATAGATCCTGAGTGTTGCATCTCTTTAGGCTAGGTCAAAAAGAAAAAGGGGCTTGAGAACTAAACTACCATACCAAATCCCAACAGAGTGACATAGAGTGTGGACTGATATACAAACTGAAACCCACTTAGCACTTGAATATTCCTCAGTGAATGATTTGATCCATGTGTTTCAAATTGAGTTCATAAAAATGGTATAGAGGGAGTCGAAACTTTAGGACGACCCCCCCCCCCCCCCCCCAAGTATTTATCGACATTACACTTAAGTCTATTAGCTTGCGAACCAGGTATTAATGCAGTGGCATCAAATTACTTGCCACTACAGAAGCAGGACGTATACAAATTCCCAAGTGAGAGCACCAGAATCGATATTCGACCACCAAACGTCTCCTGGGGTTACTATAGCCAAAAAGAGAAAAAAGAAAGGATTGTGCGAACATTAATCAGCCACTAGTGGCTATGGAATTGATCTTCCTTGTTACTTGACTCTCCTTTCCTGCCCATATGCAGGTGTTCCCAAAAGGCTCTCGACTAGCTGCAAATTTCTCCGAGGCCATTTTGGAGCTTTCAGAGAGCGGTGAGATGAAAAGATTAGAGTACAAGTGGTTCCCTCCTGAGTGTACGATGAGGAACTTCACCAATGAGACACCGCGGTTGGGCCTCAACAGCTTCTGGGCGCTCTATGCTCTCACCATCGCCACTTCCACGGGCTGTTTCCTCTTTGCATGCCTCTGCACAAGAAGGAATCGCCAGGACCATGAACAAGGAAGCGCCGGCGACAACATGAGCGTGACAGAGATGAGTATTCTGTAGTGTAAATGAATGTACAGTGGCGTAGTTTTAGGCTCGATAGTGAAGGGGGGAACATTATTCATGAATCTTGATCAATTCAAAAGCTGAATCTTCTTGCACATGAAAACTAGCAAACACATGTTTGAAGAAGAAAAGGGTTCTGTAGTTAGCTCACTAAGTTGCCAATCGCTCATTTCTTCACGGATTCAGCTTTGAACTCTGTTCGTTCTCTTCCAAAAATTATACTGTGTGTGGGAATGTAGGATCGGTTACAGCAGCTAAGGGGGAAACTGACGCAAACGAGCCTGTTGGTCCTCGCTTTGAGGCTTAAGTTATTGAACATACAACAAAAAATCATGTTCAAATTAGCTTTTGGGACTTTAGGCTATTGCATAAGCTATCGAAGATAGACTCATAAAATACACACCAGAACATCAACAACAGCTTCATAGCATGGGAGCTGATAGCGATTCGAAATAAGCAAGGTACTCATAGTACTTGGTACAATTAGAGAGTGTTAAAATAGCATAATTCTAGTGTTTTGTGCCCACAGATGCGGACTTTTTTTTCTCGTGCTGGTCAATTTTTAATCAGCGCCTGTGAGTGTCAAAAAACTAGTGATAAAAGAATGATTAGAGACCTTTTTCTAGGTAATTTGTTAGTAACTTAGCAATCTTTGATTTAGGAATCAACCTTCTTCGCCACGAGGCTTTTAATGAGTCACATGAACGGGCTCACTATTGTTGGGTTTTGTGCAAAATTGGTGCTAATGAGAAACAAATCAAAGTCATTTTAAAGCTTCTCTCTGGTACGGACGTACACTTGTCTTTGTTATGGCTACATAAGATAAGTGGGATTTGGTTCTGCTGTACTTTGTTCTTCCTTGGTTGTAAAAGATCAAAACAAGAAATAATTTATCATTTCGAATCGACGGCCCATCACCTTTGACTTTCTTTAGCTGCGTCTTCAAGAGACGTACAAAATCCATTTTTCCGTTGATAAACAAAGCGCAAAGGAGGCATGTGAAATGGCCAAACAAGCGTTTTGCAGTTTCTAGGTTTTTGTATTGTCCAAAATGACAAATTACACGTAAATGGATCGTTTACGCCATGTGACTGGATGCTGGTGTTCTAGATTCTCTTCAAGATATGTCTATGATTATGAATAATCATCAGATATCACCTACGAAAAGTATACCTTCTAGGGGTGAGCATGGTCCAGGTTGGGCCGGTCCACCCCCTAACCGTAGGACCAACCTACACAGTGTTGGTCCTCAATTTTTGGGACCGAGGATCGACCATATTGAGCCTGGGACTAAGGACCGGACCGACCCAATAGGTTCGGTCCGGTTCCAGGGTCAACCCGGGACCAACCGGTAATTTTTTTGTTTTATTTTTTGTACTCCTTGAAAAGGAAAACTTACTATTTCAAATTACATATCATTGACAATGCAGCGCTGTGCAACCAAACTATAAATACCATTACATATTTAACAACAATCAATGACCCCAACAATCAACTCAAAAATAACCAGCTTCAACCCATAAACTCCAGACTCACTCTTTGAGTCAAGACTCACCCGCTCGAGCGACGAGCGGCGAGCGCTTCAACCCATAAACTCCAGACTCACCCTTTGAGTCAAGACTCACCTGCTCGAGCGACGAGCGGCGAGCGGCGAGCGTCGAGAGGCCAGAGGCGAGCGCCAAACAGGGTGAGTGTGAAGTTTTTTTCTTCGATTTTGGCAAAATGGAGAGTCTGAACTCTAAAGACTAAAGAGAAGATAAGAAGATGTTGTCAGTACCACTACCAGAGGAGGACCGAGGGTTTTGGACGCATGAGAGGCGTGAAAAAAGACTAAAGAGAGACTCTGAGACTGTACAAAAAAGACTAAAGAGAGAAGTTGTCGAGGATGACGCCGTGAGTAACAGTGTAACACCGTTTTGGACACGTGAGAGGTTGAGAGTTGTTTCCCACCTTTTCTTTTTTGGTCAGTTTTTCACAGCATTTCACAATTTCAATTGGATTCTCTACATAAAAAAATTATAAATAATATATTAAATATATAATATATATAATATATTTCAGATATATTATATATAATATATATAGTCCGGGTTGGTCCGGGTTGGACCGACCCTAAACTATATGGACCAAGGACCAACCCACACAGTGCTGGTCCAGGGATCCCAGGACCAAGGACCGACCCAGTCTCCCTGGGAACCGGACCAGGACCGGTAGGGTTGGGCCGGTCTAGGGTCAGTCTAGGGTCAACCCTGGACCGATGCTCACCCCTAATACCTTCAACTCTTTTGCTGTAATGATTCACGAGAAAGCAAGACAATGAATGTAACAAAAGAGTAGGATCCTCTCCTATGGTTGTGTTAAGATCGTGCACGTTGCGAGATCGGGACACATGTTGGTTATACTCTGTGTTGGTGCACACCCGACAAAATCTCTTGTGTGCAATGCGTGTGTATATATGGCAAATCACAAGTACCATCGAACTAATTTATCCTCCTAAATGAGATCATTCTATTGATTAGAGATATCGTATTAACATGCCAACATGCGGGGTATCTCTAAACACAAGCACTTCTAACACAGTTGTAAGCGAGAGCATGCTACTGGACAGACTTCAAGGTACTACAGACTTGTAAGTTACCAAAAAAGAAAATGAACATTTAATTAAGAACAATTTTCAAATTAAGTTTATAAACGGAAGATAATATTCATTGGTATTTCACGATGAAGACACGAATTTCGGAAAAAAAATTGGCAGTTGAAAGGAATATGCAGGCGTGCACTATGGCTTAGGCTCCGTCTGTTTCGTAAAAAATGAATGATTTGAAAAACGTTTTCCTAAAAATGATCGTTTACATGGCTTACAAAAATGAATGAACGAAAAATATTTTTATCGTCCACGAAAAAATTTAGAAATAAATTATTATAGACAATGAAAACATTTTTCATTGACTAATTATTTTAAGCGATACGAGCAATCATTTTTAGAAAAATATTTACCAAATCATTCATTTTCTGCGAAACAAACGGAGTCTTACATTTAGTTTAGTAGATTGAGTCGTCCTTGACATGAACGCCTTCGTCGGTAAGCTTCCCCACTGATACCCTTTCCATTTTGATGCGATTTTCAATCTTATCTTACAGGCACCAAATAAAGGATGAGATTATCCACGATTTGAACAATTTCTAATTCAACATTTTCCTATCATATCCCAATCCATGTCCGGGCAGCCAAACGCGACGTGAATTTGCAACTTTTCTTTGAACGTATTGGTTGCTAATGTTAATATACGTAAGTGGACTTCCACTTTCCATGGAGTACCTACCTTTCGAAAGGGATTTCAGTTTTTTACATAAGAGAACAAATATTATCGTAAAATGTGAAGGGTGGTCCTCCTCCTCAGCTTTTAACTGCACTCACACGACAGAAAGGCTCACTTTACACTAAAGACAGACCAGAGGCAGAGAAGCACAGTGGGAAAGAGATGGAGTCAAATGGCCTTTAACCATTTGAAGACTATTGAAGAGAATCTCGCGATCTGCGTGATGTCCTTCCTTTGCACATGTCCTGCATTTAAGAAGCTTCACGCTTTGTATGGCCCTTTTGTCTGTGATTCCATTGCCCACCAATCAGCTGCTGCAGCCTTCTATTTTAGAAACACCACCAAACTTCATCAAGATAGCCAACCAAAGTTGTACAAACCACCATCTTATTTGACATTTGTATCGTGCGTCATTAACTATCAATCGTTGGATGACACTGTTTGACAAGAGAAAAAAAATCGACTAATCCACAAATCCCAGCCACTGAGCGACAGCCGTGTGCAGTATATTCTAGTACATTAGAAATTTCCTTTGGTGATTGTCTTCTTTGCAAAGACCTAAGTTCGAATCGATGTGAATTCTTCCGGGATCGTCCTCTCGGGTTTTACGAGAATGGACCTGCGGACTTCGGCGACATGTGGGACAGGGAACGAGTTTAATCGCTATGGTTGCTTAAATAGTCTCGGACATCCTATCATTTATAAGAGCGCAAAATAATCAATGCAGCAAAGAATGTGCTGGATCCTCAATCATGATGGTACGATGATTGCTCCTTTCCCGTGACTGGATTCTTGCTGGAGTCTCGCTTTTGATCACAATCGCTTCTTGAACAGTAATAGTTTCTCTGATATATGATGGTTCTCTTATCGCCGTGATTGAATTCAACAATATCACGTTTTTATCAAATTCAAAAATTATAAATGGAGAGGGCAGCACCTTCATGTGTAATTTCTCTCCATGCAGGTAAGTTTTGGTAGGGAAGATACACCTTGTAACGTTCACACTAGGATATTACCAAGTGTTATTCCTCTTAGTAAGAGTGAATTCATATATAATCACTCAATATGTTGCATTCGAATATACTTAATAAATTACGTATCAAAGAGTTGGCCGAACAGTTAGACATGCTTCGTGCAAATGAGATAGTTATTTCCCGGTCGGAATTACGTCTTCCTCCTAAAACAAACCCTTAAATATCATGTCAACTACCTTTTAGCCGGAACCCGATGCACGTAGACGGAGCGATTTCGGGTACTTCGCCCTTGAGCACTTCAAATATATACCGTACATACGATCCAAAAAAACAAAGTGGTACTATGTTAGGATTAGCATGTGCTGTATGATCAAGCACTACATCATGAACTTTTTCCTCTTGTGTCTCTCCATCCATCCCTCATGACTTTCATTCATATAATAATTTGAGCAGAAGCTCTTTTACTTTTTGTCTGTGCTTCACGGGTCTTGATTCTCTCCCTCTGTCTCTCTCTCTCTCTCCCATGGGGCAATCTGTCCCACAAGACAACAACCCTTCACACTGCACCTTTATCAATAACTTCAATGTCCCTCCAGCACTGTTCTCACTGATTTGTCCTCAAGCTGCCGCGCCTTGGCAACAAACAATGCCTCACCTCACTTCTCATTCTTCTCCTCTAACTTGCTCATTGACCCTTTTCATCGCCCTCATACTCATATGCAGCCAGCTAAATCGCTCTGCCGCAGCCGCAGCAGCCACAGCCGCCGCCAATGCCACGAGCCGCCACCGCCAGATGTCGTTTGGCTACTATGCCAAGTCGTGCCCCCAGGTCGAGCAACTCGTCGGGGCGGTCACGAGCCAACAGTTCAAGGAATCGCCGGTCTCCGGGCCGGCCACCATCCGGCTCTTCTTCCATGACTGCTTCGTTGAGGTTATCTCTCTCTCTCTCTCTCTGAACTTACTTTCACGTGCATGCAATAGCAGGAGACGAAGCTAAGATCTAGGCAAATGCTAGTAGCAGTTGAGCAACTCCTACATTATGAACAAGTTTTATAATATATAGTGACCGAATCCTTGCATATTCTTGTTTCCACACTAACGAGTCTGTGTACAACCTCAATGATAAGAAATTACAGTTTTCATCCCCTAAGCTTAAGAAAAATTCAATTCAACCCCCCGGCCAGCATCTCCTGTTCCGTTATCGCTGCATTCCCCGAGCCCACCAACACTGTCTATCAAAGTCATGCCGGGAATGAGTTACAAGTCGACAATTCTCAGTGTAGAAACTACTATCAACTCGCGAGAGAAATTACTATCGGCGAACGCCATTCGTTCGTTTAATCGATTAGAGCATAGCGAGAATTCTCGGTGTCGAAACTACTGACCCTGCATGAGTTACGGCCGATGTTGAAGGGATGCGACGCGTCGATATTGATATCGAGCGAGCCGGGAAGCAAGGAGCTCGCCGAGAAGGACGCGATTGACAACAAAGATTTGAGGGCGGAGGGATTCGAGACAATCGCGAAAGCCAAGTCCTTGGTGGAAAACAAGTGCCCCGGGGTCGTTTCTTGTGCTGATATTCTTGCAATCGCTGCCAGAGACTTCGTCCACCTGGTACTTCCATCGACCTCTCTTTCTTAGCTTATTTATTTATTTATTTGTTTGTTTAATATTTTATTTTATTTTTTTAAGTGATGACTCTTCCATAAGTTGTGAATATGTGATGTTTTAGGCCTAATTTCAGCAGCAAAAAAAACGCTAACTTTATCTTGAATGACAATTCTTATTCAAACTTTTTTTATTTCATAAAAAATCACCAAGTTTCATTTAAATCTCAAATCTAGCCTAAACAATTTGAAAATTTCACATCATGAGGGCTAGATTTGGAACTCGAGTAAAAGTTTGTGCTTTTATTGAGATAAAAAAAAGTTCAGGCCAACATTGTCACTCAAAGTAAAATTAATGATTTTTTTTAATTAATCCGATGATTTTATATCCTAAAGGTTCGTGGTAGGAGAACCAGAATCAGTCCCCACATGCTCGTCCCCATTGGACTATCCATTTGGAAATTTCGGATCCAATTTCCTAAATATGGGTCCCCCCCAATATTATCCAATCTAAAAGGACAATCATAATATTTCTATTTTTAAATTTGAGAAAATATTCAATTTCAAAACGCATGTAGTCTGTCACTTTCATACGAAATTTATGTTCAACCTAACTTAGGATTTGACAAAATATAGAAAAGGACTCACTTGCAATTTTAGATAAATGTTTTTCCAAGGAACACGGTTGGAGTGATATTAAATTGATACGAACCTAACTTTGTCATTATTAATCTGTAACTTTGCTTAACAGCCAAGACTATGATTAGTAGGTTGTCGTCTTGTTAACTTGGCTTTTGTGTCCAATTTGGATGGATCCAAAAGTTTAGGAGCTAGGCATCATCATAATGACAGAAGGTGGTTTTTTTTTTACACTTAAAAAAAAACCATAGAAAGGGCATCATAAAGACAAGACCAGCTAATTTAATTGCTCTTTGACAAGACCCATCAGAATCTTTTTTCCTAATTTCATTTTTTTAATAATTTAAGCTTTAAAAAATACAAATTGCACATACAAATCTTATATATATATAAGATTAATCGTTAGAGCCGATAAATATTTAGTATAATATATGCATAGAAGATAATTTGATATTGCATGGATTGCAGTCTGGCGGTCCGTATTACCAAGTGAAGAAAGGGAGGTGGGACGGGAGGATCTCAATGGCCACAAAAGTGCCACCTAACCTCCCGCGAGCAAACTCGACCATCGATAAGCTCCTCAAGCTCTTCAACTCCAAGGGCCTAACCCTAGAGGACATGGTGGTCCTCTCCGGTGCGCACACGATTGGGTTCGCGCATTGCGAGCAATTCTTGAGCCGCCTCTACGACTACAAGGGCACAAAGCAACCCGACCCGATGATCGACCCAAGGCTCCTGAAGGCCTTGACGATGTTGTGCCCGCACTTCGGGGGGAACAAGGACATCATCGCGCCATTCGATGTGACCACGCCGTTCGTGTTCGACCATGCGTACTATGCGAACCTCGAGGCCAAGCTAGGCCTGCTAGCCTCGGACCAGGCCTTGTTCTCAGACCCGAGGACAAGGCCCGTGGTGCAGGACTTGGCCAAGGATAAGCAGAAGTTCTTTCAAGCTTTTGGAGCTGCGATGGAGAAGATGGGGTTGATTGGGGTCAAGAGGGGGAGGAAGCATGGGGAGAAGAGGAGAGATTGTAACTTCCATGGGTGAATGTTAATGCTTTTCTATCTTTGTTTTCAAATCTCTTATTATTGATTCGAAAGAGTGCAATTAAATCCTAAAACTTATCACAAAAGTGCAATTAAGTCTCAAAACTTTCAATAAGTACAATCAAGTCCTACAATTTGTCACAAAAGTACAATCGAGTACTAAAACTTTCAAAAAATATAATCAACGGGATGATTTGATTGTACCAATTTAACAAGTTTTAGGACTTGATTGAAGTTTTTGAAAGTTTTAAAACTCGATTGCACTCGTGATAAAGTTTTAAGGTTTAATTGCACTTTTTGAAAGTTTTAGAACTAAATTGCACTTTCGTCATAAGTTTTAGGATTTCTAATGTATTTATCTCTCATTTTTGTGAGGGGGGGATTTGGGTTTTGGGATTTGTTGAGTGTGATGGTTTGGAGTTGTTGTAGAGTTGTAGGTGAGGCCTTGTGAATGGATGAGAGTTGTCAGAATTTAGGAGAGTTTGTGCATTCTTTGTGCACATTCACTTGTTGATTGTTGACTTTGACTTTGTTCTTGCAACTAATTGGGATTAACTTCATTTAATCCTAAGGGATAAGATCATTCAATTGTTAAATTCCTCACATTATTCAAATTTGGACTTTAAGACTCCACAGATTTAACATCAACATCCAGTTCTCGTTTAGGTGAACGTTAGCCTCATTATTCCGTACTGGTGATGCATTACAAATGGGCTAGTTAAGTGGATATGATAGAAAGTGACGGTATGTTTTATGTATGCTTTGTATAAGATAAAGGGTGTTGAAAAATAGAATATGATCCAAAACAACGAGGTTGAGTGGACTAACGTTGATTAATTAAGATTTTCTAGCACAAAATAGGAATAATTCGACAGCTAATGTGTCGAAATATTCAATCTTTAAAAGACTATAAAGTGAAATGTGTTTGTAGATTGTAAGAGATTATTGGTGCGATCCGGCCATTGATAATAAGTTAATAACTTATGGAAAGATTTAATTGCAAAAATCAATATTTGCCAGAAAATGTGATGATATTATATTGAAAGAAGTAGAAAATTTAGAACTGCTCTGCAATTAACCAATGACAATATAGAAAAGGGTTAATATCACGAAAAACCCTAAACTGATACACCTGTGACAAATTTACCCTTCGTTAGTTTCCGTTAAATTTTACTGTCAAATTGCTAAGTTTGATGACACGTGATAGTTGGCGGGTGTACCAGTTTGGGATTTTAACATAAGTTTACCAATTTGTAATTTTTCGTGATATTAATCCAATTTAACGAACACTAACGGAGGGTAAATTTGTCACAAATATACCAGTTTGGGGTTTTTGGTGGTTAAAAATTTAATTTGGGGTAAAATCGTCACACGTGTATCAATTTGGGATTTTTTGTAGTCAAAAAATTAGTTCAGGGTAAAATTATCATAGGTGTATCAGTTTGAGATTTTTCGTGGTATTAGCCCTATAGAAAATTTAAAAGAAAAAGAAAAGAAAAAAAGAATTGTAAAACGTGAAGCAATGCCCTCTCTCCCCACCCTCCCCTTCCGCTCTTCCGCCACTCTCCCTGGTCGCGTCCGCTTCGTTCACCCGCCGCGTTCCACAACCACGAAGCGGCGGCGCCTCCAAATCAGAGCCATGAGAGCCGTCGTCCAAAGGGTCGCCTCCGCCAGCGTCGAGGTCTTCTCTCTCTCTCTCTCTCTCTCTCTCTCTCTCTCTCTCTCTCTCTCAGCGCTTCATGGGCTCATGTGAGCTGCGTCATCGCAGGTCGAAGGCCGCACAGTGTCGGAGATTGGCCCCGGCCTCCTCGTCCTCGTCGGAATCCACGAGTCAGACACCGACTCCGATGCCGATTACATGTACGGAATGCTCGTCTCCTTAATCCAAAGAACCGTTCTTTTTACTTCGCTGATCGTCGTTTGTCTTGCTCTGTTGGTGATTGAATTGTTAAACTTTTAAGAGATTGCGAGCTCGAGAGATGACAATTCGAGGGTCTTTTCTTGGTTTTTACGAAATGGGTTTTGCAGATGTCGGAAGGTCTTGAACATGAGACTGTTCACGAATGAGAGTACAGGGAGAGGGTGGGACCAAAATGTAAGTTCTTCACTCATCCTGCTTTCGCTTAAACCCTAGAGGAATGAATTTGACTGTGTTTCCTTCTAATTTGTGCTTCCAATGATGTTGCATTGCAGGTAATGCAGAAGAATTATGGGGTTCTTTTAGGTAAGCAATCGGCGCATTTCGTTGTTCTCTGCTTAACCGATATCATATCTAGTTGCAGATAAAATTCTGAGGTTTTTTAGGGGTTTTCTGCAACTGAGGTAGAATTAGCAAGTAATCTCATGTTGGGTAACTTGTGGATGCTACAGTCAGTCAATTTACGTTGTATGGGTTCTTGAAGGGTAACAAGCCAGACTTTCATGTTGCAATGCCACCTCAGAAGGCGAAGCCCTTCTACGAGTCTCTGGTCGAGAGATTTCAAAAGGCTTACAGCCCCGATGCCGTTAAAGGTAAATACTTTTCGATTCTTTAGTTGTCTTGCTTAGCTTCAATAATTAGGACTACATTCTTCTTTCATTCTATTTGAGTAATCACTTGTTTGCTTCATTGCTGGATGGACCGGTGCATTGATGGGGGTAAATTCTGTGAATAATAGCCAATTCTTAAGTTGAGAGAATGGGGCATCCTCGGATGCACCATTTCATAATATGGATCAATGAAAGTATGAAAGGGGATTCAAACAACCAGTAAATGTACATCTCGGTGTCAAGAAAACAGTTAATGTCCTTTGCATCAGAATAGGAAATATGTATGTCTATGAGTCTACAGCAATGTTTCACCGCGAAAGTTACTCATGGTTGTTGCTCTGGTTTTCTTGTATCTTTTTTTAAACTGTAGTGTTGCCATCAGATCTCCGAAGAATAATGTGAGGCTCTTTTTTTCATTTGTTTTTCTTGACTAGGGCAGCCCCATTCAGCTATTGTATCTGCTCCAGAGAACTTTGGGTGTGTTCTAATATAAATTGCAATAGCATATATAAAGTGAGACATTTGCTGGCTAATTTTTTGGCTATTGTACTTTTTGGCTTGGCAAATCTGCTCATGTTTAAGATCAAAGAGAGCTAATCAATATTTCAGTGGACCTTTGCTACATTTCATGGGCATACTATTGAATGCTATCATGTAACTGTTATTCTTGTTCACTTAGTATGCTATGTATACTCGCTGTTGGATGTCACATATTCTGCCATCTCTTTTTCCCATTCACGTGCTGATTTATCTTCACCATCTCCCATGATTTGAACAGACGGCGTCTTTGGGGCAATGATGAAGGTATCTTTGCATGCATTCCTCTTCCTTTTTTGGTTCCTCGTTCCAATTGTTGTTTAGTTTCGGAGGATGCTTCTTTTTAAGTATTGTTTCTCCTTATGATTTGAAGGTCAACCTAGTTAACGATGGACCAGTCACCATGCAGCTCGATTCATTACAATCAACGAGGTGAATGTGACATAATTATTGGTGATTTAAGCGACATTAGTACATTCCCCCTTAAAAGGATCTGCTGTTAAAGCTGACAAAACATTGTCATTGTTGATCATTTTCAGAAATGCTCAGACAGTAGCCGAAGATTCAGGAAAGTAGTTATGTTGGAGCATGATATCTATGAACCTCACAAATCTCAAATTGTATACTTATTTGGATGTAACGCATTGATTTGCAGTAACGATGTGATCAATTGGCACATGAAAACTATACCCTCGCTGAAGTTGCTGGGGTTTTGTCTGGCATTACGTGAACTCTCTCTGTATTATCTGGTAGAATAGGTGGAGTGCATGATGCACTCAATAATACAATAAGCTTCATTCTTGGCAATCGCTGTACCACGTAAATTCTGTATTCTGTAGCTTTCTCGACTCAAAAGTTTAAGATGCGTGCGCAGGCATTAAAGTGATGTGTTTCGGGTGCATGCACCCCCATAATATTGTATGGTACCCGCGGTTCAGTTTACCAAGATTCGATTCCTCTGTGCCAGGGTCCTGGCTGCTGGACGCAGGTGCCCCCGGTTGGGGAGTCCTCAAAATGTAATTTATATTTTCTGTAGTATACTTGTTTGTTGACTCAAAAGGTTTGAGAAGGACAAACCCAGGCATCAAAGTGATGCTTTTCATTTCTTGAAACAGGACTTACTAGTTGTATAGTTCGTAGGACACACTCATAAATCATAACAAGGTACAGTATCTGCCTTCCCCGTTGCTTGACCATGAGTACCCCATAGCCAGACCTGGGTCTTGGCTGCTGGATTGCGGTGCCTATCGGCTGGACCTGGGTCACAACTCGCCGGACCGGAGACTTGCATGTGGACCTGTACACCTGAGGTTGATCCCCTTTTAAAAGCATATCATGAGATTTCTCAGCTATATATGCCAATGAACAGACTTATGTAGTGACTTATTTTCCATAAAGAAATTTGTTCGATGAGAATGTTTTTTCATTAGAAAGAAATTTTATGGAAACAATAAAGCAATATCACCGAGATTGCGTTTCAATTTTGTACACCTATTTCAGGAATTTTAGATTTTTAGGACATGTAATGGAAGGACTGGATTAGGGGGGAAAGAAAGGAAAATTAATAAGCTTGAGTGAGGGTACGAAAATTTAGTTTGAGGACCATATTCTAAATTGTTGCTACTTAAGAGACCAATTTGTTACTTCATCCTTAAAACTTTCGACACTGAAAATGTATTTTGACTGAAATGCAAAAACCATCGATCAAGATTCTTCTCTAAACTGAGACAAGGGGGCAATTCAAGGGGATGTTAAAGATCGGTCTCTTCAAACCTGGGCATGCGATTAATATAGCTGTATGCGGTAACTTTAATCCCGACAATGCAAAGAAAAAAAAAAGATAAGGAATAGACTATTCGGGCACAAATAGAAGGCAACATGACAACATGAGAGGTTATTTGTATGAATTTCTCCGAGTCGAGAACACGGTAAAAAATGGCGAGATCACCTGTTGATGGAACTCTTCAGAAAGTCCAAGGGGTGATACAGGGCAATTCCGTTCATTGCTACGACTTGGTTGACAGGATGGTCGCGGCTACAAACAAGGCTTCTTTCCCAATTGGTAAGATGTCCATCCGCCTGTCCATGAAAGATGTGTAGTCGATAATGAGGATGACTGTAGCATTTAGAGAGCAAAAACTGTGGTGCTATTGTCATTTAACTTTGCCTCTGTTCATTTATCATGAGATGCATGCAGATGAAAATTGAAATGGAAACTATTTCAACTAAGTTAGTGAACCTAAGAAGCATAAACCTATGGCAAACAGCACTCTCTCTGTTTCAAACATTGCTTTTCGATTAACCACCAAATTTTCATCATATAACAAGTGGCCTCCTCTTGTGATCTTTCGCACTCGGTAAATTTTGGAGGAAAAGTGGATCCAGTACACTTTAAAGCACTATAGTAAATAAAAGAAAAATACTCAAATACAATAAAGCATGCACATTGGGATTTATGCGACTAAATCCAAGGAGATGCTTACTCATCCACTTTTTTTAAACCATCAAAAGCAGAGATCATATGCTTGCATATTTCCATCAAGGAGTGGTCTACGGCGTTTCCGTTGGACTTCAAAACACCTTCACTAGAATGAGATTTGCATGAAAGAGCCAACTGGGCCTGAAGGAAATCCATGAAAAGAAAGAAAAATAAACAATATAATGCAGACCCCAAGACATCTGTAGTGCATGTAGTGCATATTTAGATCACATCCTTCACCTGGAAAGCATGAGCCAGGAGCAACTGGACTGCTTCTGCACCAATCTTCTTCATAATGCTTCTCAAGCTACTCCCGTTTGAGAGGCACTTCAAAACTCCACCAAATGTTGGGTCATCAGTAGAATCACTTGATCTTCGAGTACGAACAGAAGGCTGTTGTTCAGGGGAAAGAAAAAGGGCATGCAGCTATCATGGATAACAAGAGTAATTCACCCCTTAACTTTTCCATGTATAAAGCATATCTAAATGAAAACTTCCGTTGAGGGGAGATAGAAACACTTCATCAAACAATTTGCAGCAATCCTATGGTCGAAATCAAACCTTGGCAGTGTACTTAGAGAGATACTGCAAGATAAGCTCCAGATTCCACTTTGGTTGATTAAAAACCTGAAATCAATTCATGAGATTAATCACAATCTTCTAACAACCACTAAATTTAAAACGTCACTATATAGACATATGAATTGTAGTTTCTTTAACCATACTTTGCCTCCTCTAGTTTCAAAATATATATACTGCACCTTAGTTTTAAGACCTTCCACTTTGCATTTCAAAGTTTCAAACAAACCTACTCTACACCTTACATTTGCTTATGCACAATCAACACCCACAATACCATATGTCCATCCCTATTAGAGAGGTAGAGACAGTCCTAATTGGTACCTGAAGATATGGTGACAGGATCTCTTTATTGTATGTCAGTTCATCTAGTATTATCTCCAGCAATGGAGTTCTGCACTGAATCCAATGATTAATGCATATTCAACAGGTAAAGGCATTCACTAACCAAGGGGGTTTATAAGGTGATTGAAAATGGGAAACATGTACCTAAAACCGTCAGCTCTTGTAGTACAGCCTTGTTTATCTGCTTGGTTTTTCAACGCATCAAGCTCCATAATCTAAAGGAATGCAAGTCAGCACCTCAAGTAGAGACATAGTAAAGACAAATTTACCATTGTCATTGGTCTAAGTACCCACATAATAAAGACAAATTTACCATTGTCATAAGTTTCTGCAGAGCCGTGCAAGTATTGTCCACAACTTCAAGTGAAGCAATTACCAACGAAGTGTCACAAACTTTGGATGACTTGGCCTCTGAAAACTCTGGAAGTGTAAGATCATTTCCAAATCCAGTGCAAAGTTGCCGCAATCCACACAAAACAGATGGGCAATCCTTCATCAAGTTCTTGTAGCTGAATCTTCTCGAGCACTACACAGATAACAATGTATAATAACCTTGACCATCCTTGTACAAGATTTTACAAGATAACATCCCTTCCCTTTCCAATACTGCATTGTTGAACAGAGGATTTTTTTTTTTCTATTTTTGTTCTCTCTAAAAGACAATTTAGAATATGTGCAAATGAAGACATTGCTATTCTTGCCATGAAAATTAGTAATTTAGCAGATAAAGAGAGTACCAAAAGCATGCTCAGCAAAGACTCCCTTATGACAGTCCAATCCATGGTTTCTGCAAAACCGTGTAGTCTCTTAAACCTTCATTGTGGGGCACAAATGCACAAATTAATAGCATTAGGATGAGACGTGATGTCTTACCTTTATAAAAATTGCTGCGAGATGAAAAATCTCCTTCAAGAAAATTGATTAGATATTGGAGCAATAACATATTTCTCAGAGACTGCAGTCAAATAAGACAAGGAAAACGAATATTTCAAGATGTCATTCAAGCTATCGTGAAGCTGTTATCACGTTAGATATATGCAACATGCAAGGATAGTCTTCTATACAGAAAATACACTCGGAGTAGAGCCATAGAGAACAAAAATAAATTGTTGTCTGGCATAAACAGCAAAGAGGATTGAGGAGTCAGGAAACTGGAACACATATAAGTAGTTAAGGTCAAATTACAGTGTAGTGTGACTGTTACCAAATAAATTCTAAAATAGGAGACATTAACCAGAAAGAGTGTAGCGTGTCATTAAAAATCGTATTGGACTAATTACCTTCATTTTTCCTTTTTAACCAGAGTTTCTTAACAGTAACTAGCATAATTTTCTGACGATGGAAGAGGAAAGAAGTTCTTGATCATCTGTAAATTTATCTTCAGCTTGACAAACTGCTTCAGCTTTTAATTTCGCACACAAAAATTCCACCAGAAAGAGGGTTTTAGGAAGTAAAAAGCCCAAAGAGTTAACAACAGATAGATACATGATGTAAAATAGATCAAGCTTTTCCTTTTTGTTCCGTTTGGTTTCCAGCTTTATCGAACTAAGTCAATTTAATATGAGCAGCAGATGGATATACTTCACAGTTCATACTCTTCCCAACATGAAATGATCGGTAGACATGTCAGCAAATGGAATTTTGTAAGCATGCTTTAGCTTTACCAACATGGCGTACCATCTATTCACCAACGCAAGAAAGTTCTGTTTAGTCAACATAGCACTGAAAAAGAAATAGATAAGCAGACCTCAATATCAAATACTTGATGATTTGTCCCGTCCACCAGTGTAAAAAGGATTTGTATCAGAAGATCAAAACCCTGCAGTGATGGATCGAAGAGCTTTGACTAATTGCAAGGTTTATGGACCACTTAAGAAGAAACTTTGAACAAATACCACTTTACCAAAAAAAAAAAACTTTGAACAAATACCAGGAAGGTTAACAGGAAACAAGCTCAATCACCTCCAGGAATCATGATAAAAGAACTCACATTTGCTAACATGTAAGTGCAACAGCACTTTCTATCATATCTACATAAAGTATGAAAAAAATGCTTTCTTCTTCTTAGTTCGCCCTAGGCTTTAGAAAGAAAAGAAAAACAGAAGGAAAGATTGCCATTATGTCCATCCAACCAGAACCTCGTTATTATGAGAAATTGGAACATAACCATTATGTCCATCTGTAGCCGGCTAGCAGCTTTAAACTATCACATTCATATGTACGTTTACACGATTCAAGTCTAGAAATATCTACCA